AAGGGCAAAAAAAAAAAAAAAGATTAGGGGTATGTAACAGCTTCCATATGAGGAGATATTAAAAAGAATGTGACTTTTCAGTTAGGAAAGAAGATGACTGAGGGGGGATATTATAGAGGTATAAAATAAAATCATGAATGATGTGGAGAAAGTGAATAAGGAAATGTTATTTACCACTTCATGTAGAACACGAAGAAAGGGTCACCCAATGGACTTAATAGGTAGCAAGTTCAAAACAAATATAAGGAAGTACTTCTTCACACAACACACAGTCATCCTGTGGAACTCATTGCCAGGAGATGTTGTGAAGGCCAAAAGTGTAACTGAGCTCAAAAAAGAATTAGATAAGTTCATAGAGGATAGTTCCATCAATGGCTATTAGCAAAGATGGTCAGGGACGCAACCTCATGCTCTGGGTGTCTTTAAACCTCTGACTGCTAGAAGCTGGACTGCATGACAGGGGATGGATCACTCGATAAATTTCCCTGTTCTTTTCACTCCCTCTGAAGCATCTGGTACCAGCCACTGTTGGATGAGAGCATACTGGGCTAGATGGACCATTGGTTTGACACAGTATGGACGTTCTTATGTTTTTAATACATTGTTTTTCATATGATTTTTGTTAACTACTCAGCCTGGGCTAAATAGCATTCCAATTCATGTTATCCTTCCAAACAGTAAGTCAGCTTGTCTTATAAACCGACAGAAAGGATATGGACAAACTGGAGAGAGTCCAGCAGAGGGCAATGAAAATGATTAGGGGCACATGACTTATGCGGAGAGGCTGAGGAAACTGGGCTTATTTAGTTTGCAGAAAAGAAGAGTGAGGGGGGATTTGATAGCAGCCTTCAACTACCTAAAGGGGGGTTCTAAAGAGGATGGAGCTAGGCTGTTCTCAGTGGTGGTAGATGACAGAACAAGGAGCAGTGATCTCAAGTTGCAGTGGGGGCGGTCTAGGTTGGATATAAGGAAAAACTATTTCACTAGGAGGATGGTGAAGCACTGGAATGGGTTACCTAGGGAGGTGGTGGAATCTTCATCCTTAGAGGTTTTTAAGGCCCGGCTTGACAAAGCCCTGGCTGGGATGGTTTACTGGGGTTGGTCCTGCGTTGAGCAGGGGGTTGGACTAGATGACCTCCTGAGGTCTCTTCCAACCCTGATATTCTATGATTCTATGACAGTAGTAGGGTAGCCCATTAATGTCGGATAGGCTAGCTGAATTCTAAGCTGAACCAGAAAATGAGCAAGCCGCATGGAGGAAAGAGTGTTCACACCTGCAGTTTAGCAAGGTAATGAAGAGTAGTCTGACGTGGGGTGACAAATTTATGCAGATGAGTCCCGTTTCCCAAGCAGTCCTAAACAGACCATAATCCCCACAGAGCTGTGCAGGTAAATGCAGCCCTGTGGATTCATATTTTTCAAAACAATAGTAGTACAAAGTATGCGTTTAGCTATTTACAGTTATGTGTGAGACAAACTCAGGATAATTTTGGCAGCAAGAAGAAAGGTTATCACTGTACAAAAATATAGCAATTTCCCTTCCTCTGAAATTTACCCTGCTACTCAGCAGGGTCAGGAGCTGATCACACTCACGAGTTCTAGAAGAGACTTTGAAACAGACACTTCCCTGCTATATCTGGCAAAGTTGTATATTATTCAACAGTAATTAAGCATTTCCAGCAGGAATAGTGCAATACTAACAAAGTAAGAAATCAGATCCAGGAATGAAATCCTGGCTCCACTGAAGTCAGTGGGAGTTTTGCCATTGACTTCAGTGGAACCAAGATTTCACCCAGGAATTTAGTGTGAACAGATAAAGACTATAAAAGACAAGGAGAACATCTGAAATATGTTCAATACTATTGTTTTGATTCTTTAATTACCTTCCCATTCACATTCCTGCTGCTAGGTATGCAAAAGAATATACATTGTGAAAGGTTTTGGACTATTCTTTTTCTTCCTCTATATAATAGCTCACAGCCAATAATACTTTAGAGAATGTATTTCACAACAGAAACTTCAATGGTTGAAAGTTTGGGTTATACTGCTAATAACACATGATAGACAGGATACATGTATGGTTGGTTGGTTTGTTTTTAAATACAGAACAGTATATAAAGTATTTGTTTGGAGAGGGAAAAAAGAGGAAAAATAATTCTTCAAGTCTTGCCACATATGGAAGTTCAAGAAAATCATAAAAATAAGCATAAAACCAAAAAATCATTAATCTTCAACCTTACAGATCTGGTGAGCCCCACTGTCAGCTAATGAAGTTCCAGAGTGCCATAAACGAAGAAACATCATCCTGAGTATCTACTGCCTTGTTTGCATCATGATATTGCATGATCACAGTACAGAGTACAACACTATGCTACTGCTGCAAACATCCCAGTGCAATGCCAAAACATAGTGTCACAACCCTTGTATATTTTTTCTGACACACCTCTTAACAAAATGTCCATTATCTAATTAATGCTCCCCCACCCAAAGTTGACTGGAGCAGGATGTATCTGCTTGAAGTGAGGAGGAGGGATTCTAGTGGTTCTGTTCAGCACTCCCTGCACTGTTGTGTGTGTGTTTGTATGGTAACAAGGAGAACAGTCTGCCTGAGACCAAACCCAAGCATGAAAACAGTTTCTACAAGACCTATATGTGGTGCTTCAAAAAGCCAGAGCTTCATGACTATTGACTATATAATAATACCCAAGAGCACTCTGGGTTTTTCCCCCCATTTCAAAAAAAGACATTAATCAGTTACAATCCTGAGTTAATTGCTTTAGGACATCAAAATTAAATAAACTGGCTTCAAGACCCAGCTAAGTAATGTTTCTCCTAGTGATGGCATAATTACAAAACCCAGGCAAAGATTCTAATACAAGAAATCTGTAAAGATAAATACACAATCTATGTATATTTCTAACAAATACAGTTAGAAATCTAGAACAAAAAAACTGTTTGCTTTTCAGTATTTCACTTTTATGCATTTGCTCTGTTTTGTCAAAAATGTTCTGATACTGATTTTTTCTAAATATTTTTACATGGATTATATACAGGGGTGAAAGTAACTTAAGGGACTTACCGCTACACAGGGCCGGGGTCCTGACCAGGTATGTGTGGGGGTCCCCTCGGGTGGAAGGGGTGGGGCCTTGGGCAGAAGGGGCAGGGCCTTTAAATCCCCGGGGCCTTTAAACCGCTGCCACTACCCCGGGGCTCTGGCGGTGATTTAAAGGACCCGGGGCTCCGGCTTCAGTAGCGGAGGCCGGGAGCTCCGGGCCCTTTAAATCACTGCCGGAGCCTCATGGTAGCGGTAGCTGTGGCGGTGGCCGGGGGCCATGGGGCTCTGGTGGCGATTTAAAGGGCCAGGGGCTCCAGCCACTGCCGCTACCCTAGGGCTCTGGCAGCGGGGCTCTGGCGGTGATTTAAAGGGTCCGGGGCTCCGGCTGCAGTAGCAGCATCTGGGAGCCCCGGGACCTTTAAATCACCGCTGGAGCCCTGGGGCTCCCGGCCACTGCTGCTCCCTGGGGCTCTGGCAGCGGGACTCTGGCAGCGATTTAAAGGGCCAGGGGCTCCGGCCGCTGCCGGGAGGCCAGGGCCCTTTTAAATTGCCCGCCTGGGGAAGCTGCCTCCTGCCGGTATGTTCGACTGTGTACCGGCTCTTGCCGGTATACCGTACCAGAACCAGATCGGCTTACTTTCACCTCTGATTATATATAAAATAACTACGATTTGAGATTTGCCTGGGGATTGTGTGCCTCACATTTATGGACCTTAGCATTAATGCCCTTTTAAAACACAATGGTCTTTTCTGTTCAATATACTTAACTCAGTTTCCTAAATTCTTAATTGGATTATAGTTAACAACTTCAGTTATGTAATTTTGATGTCACTTATTAGATAATCCGTCTTTACTAATAATCTGCAAAAATATTAATTTGGCATACAGCAACTACATAAGTTCCCACAACGTATGATAAGTGAAAATATATCTTTATTGCTCATTAGTATCTGTAAAAAACAAATACTACATTATTTAGCAATCTTGCCTGCATAACTGTGATGGGTATATTGCCATCTTGATGCACAAAACGTACTCAAGTGCAGAAATATTTTAAAACTAAGGGAGACAAATGCTTTCTCTTTTTGTTTTATGACCCAAAGTCGTGGTGGCAAGCACACAGGCCTTTTTTTTTTAACTAAAGGCAGAAGATACCTCAGGTAATATAGCAAAATGAGCTACACTATCTGACTATTAACTGTATCTTACTTCTAATTCATTAATATTCAGATAGGTTGATATGTCTCTGCTCACGATTTATGAAGCCCTGTTTAGCAGAAATCTTTCTGTCATGGTGAGATGTGCACTCTAAATACACAAGGCCCAATTCTGATCTCAGAGAAGGCAAAGCAGCTTATTTTAAGGGTAAATGGCTCATAAAGTTAAGAACAGATAAGAACGGTGCCATATTCTACTTTTGCTATATGTATGCTACTTCCACTATACCCAATGAGAGTTTTTCACAAACACTGAGTACAAAATATGGACTTTTATGTAATTTTTATACAACAGTGAAAATTATGAACTAAGAATTCTGCTATATATTTTTCAACATATTCACCAGTCTGGAAACCTTACAAACACAGTAAACAACAAACATTGTTTAAAGAATTGAAAATAGTCAAAATAAAATCAAATTCACAGAGAATCAGTCTTGCTGCTTGTGTAACAGATACACCTCAAAGATTTTTCTGTATTCTTTCTTTCGAAGAGGATACAAGATGGCAGTTCAGGCAGCCCTGTACACACTGTGAATTTTAAATATTAAACCACTAAAAAGAACAGCAGATATATCATCGTTTACGGAACTCTGAGGCTATGTAGGTTTCTGTGGGTTTTTTGTTTACTTTAGTTACCTGACTTTAGGGTTAATACATCACACTGATATAATTCACTTGTGATGACTATAGACTAAAGATGTTTCTAATTCCTATATGATTTTTACCTCTCTCTGTCTGGGGAGTAGTGGTCATCTATTGCACGATGTCTATCCATTCGGTTCATAGTATTATAATGTGCAGCAGTAGATCGAGTCCCTCGAGGTCCCTGTTCCACATTCCTACTGAGGACATAAAAGCCATCAAAGTCTTAGGGTGAGTAGTGCACCATGTCCTTATACTGATTTGTAAAATTAGTTCTGTTAATGAAAATACCAGCTATAAAAGAGCTTTAAAAGGTCTATCTTTCACATACTTGTACTGTTACATAATTATAAGTCTCATGGTGAATTGTTTTGATGTAATGGCTATCATTATTTCAAAGAAAAAAGGCACTACCTTCGTGCCACAGATACTGTGACTTTAGCACAGGAGAGGATTTGAGCCATTGTACTTATAGAGTGATGCATTGTAGCAGAAGTCTGCTTTCTAACTGAGAGATTTATTGTAGAGAACTAGAATGTTCCAGGGTCCATCCAATACAGGGCTGGTGTTTTGCCATATTAGGCAGAGGCAATCTACTATGGAGTGAAATGAGGACTACTAAGGGAAAATTCAGCCTGCCAAGCAAATTATCACCTGTTCAAATCACTAGATATTAGTTTTGCAATGAAGAAGTAGCACAATAATTTAATTTGCATAATCTAGGAGTTTAAAGGAAGATGTATTTAAATTAAACATTTTCTATATTCTAGTAGCAACAAGTAATTATTATAGTGGGTGAAATCCTGGCTACACTGAAGTTTTACCACTGACTTCAGTGGGGCCAAACTTTCACCCATATTTTATTCAACATAAACTCTGATAACCAGTGGTATCCAATGACCCCTCTCCTCCTGCAGCACCGCAGAACAAATCAACCAGTAGTAGGAAGAAAGGAAGATAGTACTATCAACTGCAAAGTTTATCAGGTAAATGCAATAGGATATTTTCATTTGTATGTTCACAGAGTTTATTAGGAAAGATGTTTAAAGGCTATCATGCAATGCAAGAAATGCATATATTTATTACAATTGTATTATAATTTTAATGATGCAAACAAGATTAATCAGAATAATAAGGTATTTCTGTATTCTTGGCATTTTTGGTCCGTAGTATGAAATCATGAAGTATGCAGTGACAGAAATCTTCATAGAAGTTGTATATACCTTAAACATTTATTCAAGTATATTTTTGTTACATACACATGTGTGCATTCATGCACACATAAATACATATGTGCATACAAAGTTATGTTAACAAAATGATAAGGTTGTAAAGTGAAACACTCAAATGATAGGAAGTGCCAGAATTAAGGCTTCCTTGTATTACTCCTGGGGAAATTCTGTGCCAAAACATTAAAATTTTTGCACCAAACAAAAAAAAAATTCTGCACACAATATTTTATAATTCTGCAGAATTCTGCATATTTTCTTTGTCAAAATAACACAATATAATCACGTTAGTTTCAATTATTTTGGTAATTTATTTAAACTACAATACAAAGGATGGAGAATGGGAGTGGGGAGCATTGGAGGAGATCCTCAAACCCTCTTTGTCTAATAGTAATGTAGCTAGTATTGGCCCTTTACTTCTAGTTATTAGTTAACAAATATATGAAGTCATATGCTCAGTGTTACATTATAGGCAACTGAAGAGCAAGTGAGGGCTGGGGACTCAAACTCACAATTTATATTCGCTACTGACCATCTCCAGAAAGGTCAGTCGCAAACTGTTCATGGAGCACATTTTGATAGGAAATTTTTCAGTCCAAAAATGTAGACCAGTTCTAATCCGTAAAGCACCATAAGCATTTATAAGGTCACACTGTCCTTTACAATGAAGCTCCTTTTACCACTCTGGCAATGTAAAGGAGCCTTAAAATTTTTACACCTGTTTTATATTCCTGGGGGAATTCACTAAGAACAATGGGAACAATTTACTAAGCAGGTAGGCTGCTAGATTCTGCTCTCCCTGAGGGGACAGAGCCTGCTCCACGGCTACCTCCTCAGAAACACCCCAAAGCCCTTCCCCTCCATGCTGAGCGTGCTGCAATAGCGAGTGAGAGGGACAGAGTGTCTCTCTCTCACTTGCACAACGGCCCAGCCCCACCCATGACGGTGATTTACATATCTACCAGCTGCTCCGGGCACCCAAATTGACCTGCCTGCACTGCCGGGGAGGGGCACCTGACTGCTCTTGCAGCTTCTCTTTGCTTCCCCATCAGAAGTAATTTTTCTGCGGGGAAGCAAAGAAATCTGTGGGGCCATGAATTCTGCGCACACACAGTGGTGCAGAATTCCCCCGGGGGTATAGTATGTATGAATTATGATAACCTAACTCAGCATCATATACAAAGTCTGTGGCAGAGCCAGGAATAGAACCCAGTTCTCTCCTGTGTCTCAGTCCAGGGCCGCAAACACAAGAAAACATCCTTTCTCTTCTTGCAGTCTTCTTTCTCATTAACTGTTCATCCTGTGCACTGAATGAGGCATAAATAGTATGTGAGCACATAATTAAAGACAGAATACTAATGCCATGCAAGGGGACTGAAGAAGGTTGTATAGATAAACTTAATTCTGGCATTTCCTAAGTTTTGAGTACTTGAGACTGTCGCCTTAATGTTATTTTAATGTTTAAAAAATGGTATTTCCTAGGTATACTAAAGGCAAACTGAAAAAAAAAATCCTATCTAGTGGAATCATATTGATCCTCCCCAAAGGTCATCAGCAGTGTTGGAACCCAAGTACGTTAGATCCATACCCAGAACACTTGCTAAATTATTTTCTAATCATGTCATATGTTCATAGATGTTAAGGCCAGAAGGTACCATTGTGGTCATCTTATCTGACTTCTGACATTACACAGGCCATATGACTTCCCTGTATTAATCCCTGCTTCAAATTCAATAGCTATGCTAGAGCATATCTTTTAGAAAAATATCCAATCTTGATTTAAGTAAATGAGATCAGAATAAGATGCTCTGTGTGTTCTATTTAGCTACTTCCTAATTAGGTTTTTATTTATAGTAGGGTTGTATTTATTTATTTTACTGGATTTTTAGGTAGGAACCTATCATCAGTTACCTGTATGTGATTAATTATGATAATGTGTGTGATTTTACCTGTGCATAAGTAATACAAATTAATAATAATATGTTGTTAGTGAGAAAATACTTTGTAAGTAAGTAAGTAAGTAAGTAAATAAATAAATAAAAGGACCAGTACGTTAACAGTTTAATCTAAAAAAAGAACAAAGGAGAAAAGGAGAAAAGGGAAAACAAAAAAGAGAGAGAGAAGTAGAATTGCTATGGAAGATCATGTCAACATGTACTTGATTCAGAATATTTGACACTGTGCAATCAATGTTTAATAGGCAATTTTAACATTATGGCCAGATCATCAGCTGGTATTAAATCAGTGCAACTTCACTGATTTCAGTGTAGCTATACTGAATTACAGTAGCTGAGGACCTGGCCCTTGAAAGTGACACTAAACACCAAGAGGAAACCCATTCTACGCTATATCTCTATTTTTGCATCCCCTTGAAGGAAACCATTTCCACGAGGGCAATGTCTGTCCATGTTTAACAAGACTGTTTTTAAATAATCTTTTCAGTCCTGTAGTAGTCATTACCTTATGTAGTTGGGGTATAAGAAAAATGTCCTGATCTTTGTTTCACGGGATCAGAGGCTGTTTGAGAAAAAAAAGATGTATATTCTTTTCTATATAAAAAGTGGTTGTAGAAGTGTTAATCTATTTTTGTTGCTTCCAAAATGTGTAAAAAAATACTGAGATACAGAATCTTTGGATTTCCCAAGGCTTGGTCATTTACCATAGTGGTAGAAAATAGCCATTGAATGATTAAAAACAAAAACAAGAACACCTCAGATCATAAAACCTTTAACCTTGTAAATCTCTCTTTAAAAGAATGGGGATAAAAATTTCTATTGCTTTAGATTGGAATGTGTTTTGTGTCAGACTGATGTAAAAAAAGTGAAGGAATAATTTACACATGGCTATATTATTAAAAACTCAGTTTTCATTATTTCATAAAGAGCAAACCAATTACTCTGTGTTTCTGTCATTCACTATTTTTCTTGGGGGTCACAGTTATTTCAGACATCCTCATGGATTTCAACAGCACTTAATTTCATACCCTCACAGGCATTGAATCTATATAGTGATTTACCTTTGTGGAGGAGGGACACTGGGAGACCAAGATCTAGTCCGTCCTATACTATCTGTACGGTGAGGGGACCCTGACCGAGAGCAGTGATTGGATGACATCACTTGTTCTGGCACTGATAACGTTGAACTCTGAAGATCTCTTCCATTATGTCGGTAATCTAAAGAAAATACAAAAGATGAGCAAAACTAAAATCACATTTGGGTTTGTTTATTTTCTATTTTATTAAATATGTAGCACTTGTTAAAGATGCCATAAAACATGAAGAAAAGGGCAATGTTGTTTTGACTGTTGACGAACATATGTCTGTTTTAAAATGCATGTAACATAAAATATGTGTATAGATATGTTTCCTACATTTATGATGGAATTTCCCTTTAAATGACTAGTACTTAAATTGCCATATATCCAAACAGTAATTTAGAGTAAAAAGATCAGTGAAGAGTAAATTACATTAATTTAAAATAGAATTTTTTATTAGAACAAATATTACAAAATTAGTTACTGCAATTTCTAACAAATGGTGTAATGTCATGATCCATCACTTTTCATCATTCAAAATCCTTCAAAAATTGGTGATCCTAAAAGAAAAGTAAAACTCTAGGGGGCAGGTGAGGGTGCGGGGGGAAGGTTTGGGAACTCCTACTTCAGAAATAGGTTGAGCAGCACTGACATACTGAAATGGGATTCCACTCTTGGGATAAGCAACAGAGAGTCCTGTGGCATCTTTAAGACTAACAGATGTATTGGAGCATAAGCTTTCGTGGGTGAAAGCCCACTTCGTCGGATGCATGACTCTTGGGATCAAATTTAAGCAATAGTGATTGCTTTGTAAATGTATGTAAGAAGGAAAATGTGGATGTCCTGAAGTTAACATCCTTGGTGTTTAGATAGTATGAGTCATGAGAAGTCCTAACAGAAAACCTACCAAGTACAAAATGCAATCAGATGGCAAAATGCAAACAAATGGTCCTTTTTATGACAGCAGTACCCATTCTATATACATCAACAGAAAGAAATGGAATCAAAGGGGGAAAAAAGAGATGGACAGACTTTCTAAGGTATTTCATATACACAAAGAAGAAACTAATTTAATATCAAGTTTATGGAGAAGAGACTCAGCAGGATGAGCATGTGAATATGAGATAAATGTTGGCAGGATGATAGACTCATTAAGGTGGAAATGTATCTCCAGCCTTGGAAGGAATTGCAGATAAGTAAATACCATCATATTGTCCTACTTAAATCTGCCAGTTCCTGAAACTGAAGTCACTGCCCTAGGAACATTATCTTCTAGGTAATAAATATGGGATCACAGATACTGAGCAGCTCTAAAGGACCTTTCATGACATTTGTCAGGACCACACTAATATCCAATGATACAGGGAGCTGTGTCACAAGAGATAGAAGAATTTTAAAACTAATCCTGATGACAAGGGGCTGCAGAGACACTGGTCTTCAAAGAGCTTATGACAACTCTTAGTAGTTACCCAATAAACATGGATGGAATTGGTTTTTCATCCAGAAGAAGGCAGTCAAGCAGTTTGGCGAGGGGTACTTAAAGGGATCCACAATGGCCTGATTGCACCACACTGAAAAATGTTGCCACTTAAAGTTATAAATCCTTCTGGCTGACATCTGAGATAACAGGAGAACTTGTGATAGAACACCTATGGAACTCTACCCTGACAAGAACCAAACTTTTCAAAATTAGGGTTCTCAGCATGGGAGAGAGCAAGACAGTCTGGTTCTGAGCAATTATCTGTGGGAACAGTCACTGCTATCTGCAACAAAGCTGAGAATCATACAAGTTTGAGCCTATATTGGACTACTAGGATAATTAAACCCTTACATCTAAGCTTGTCAGAACCTTTGCTAACAGAAATGTACCAATAGAGAGGCATGCAGGCACCACCATCATCAGTGATGTCCTTTAATAGACTGGTCTCTTCCTGGTGTCACGAGCAGAAGAGTCGTAGTTTCTTTAGGTAAAAGGGAAAGAGATTCACAGCTGTTGTCCCTGAATGCCTTGCTGCATGTCTTTAGGGACACTTGAATCCAGTCAGTGTGTACAGTGGCATGCAAGGTAGTGCCTTTTGCTTCTGCCTTCACCTCTCATGGGGAGGAAAACGGGGTGATCCCAGAGACAGCAGGGTGTCCTCACATTCCTTTGCATTCTGTAGAGATGTTCCACCTAATTCTGAAGTTACCCTTTCTGGTGAATGGAAGATCTTGAAGCTTTGTGGAATCCCATGTGGAATTCAGATGCCTACAGCAAGCAGACCTTCAGGTATCCACTCTTCAGCCAATAATTCTTGGCAATATATTATATACATCAAAGGCTGCCCACACCTCATACTGGGCAGGTCCATAACCTCATGCACAAAATTGATAATCTATCCTAGCATTCCCTGCCTGGAGAATAAATTCAACTAAAGCATGAGCATTCATCCACACCCCAATTTGCTCTCTGGACTGCAGTCCATAAGATAGCAACCACAAAACAGTAAATCCACTTCCAAAAGGACTGCAGCATTGAAACTCTGTCCTGGAGTCCAGTTTCACGGATTCAGGTGGTTTTCTCTTAGCCACAGCAGGTCTCTGTCATGTCTTCATTAACTCATCAGAAATAGGACACTGCCATATTATTCCAATGTGCTCCTAGTCCAGGTACTTCTCAGTCTTGGCCATTGGTAACAAACTAAACCAAACCCAATTGACTTAGAGTCATGGTTCCCATGAAGCATGACCTCATCAAGCAAATCTAGTACCCATATATATCATGCTCCAAGACAAAGAATGCAGCAATCATGTTAATCTGCAAGCAACTTCTTCCTGCAACATACACACATCTTCAATTCTTAAAATTCCTTCTTTCCTCCTTTGTGTGGATCAAGGGAGAGAGATGCCATCCTGTAAAAGATAACAGTATAAATACTAGCTGCATTTATCGACGAAGATGTATCAACACAAAAACACTCAGTGTAGCAGATGTCCAACAGAATGCTCACTGAATGGGTCAAGATATACAAGCTTTAAAATGTTGAGAATTGACAGACATATCTATGTGTGGAAGACTCTGGAGCAAAGTCTTGACACGTCAAAGCCTTGATACCAATATGCTGATACAACTCCTTGTAACAACAATAGGGTTTGCGTCAAATGTTTAATTCACATCCCTTTAATTAAGGTTGTGTTTTCCTCATCACCATTTAATTAGAGAAAACCAATCTGGTGTGTTTTTATGGCTTTTATTCAAGAGCATAAACAATTAGAAGGTTAACCAATTTATTATACTTCCATAAAATACTAAAAAAAAAAATGAAAATTTGATTGATCTTACAGTGTAAATCAAGATAGCTAAATCAAGGAATTAACAATAATACAAATCAGAATTGGAGAGAACAACTTGAGATCAACAACTGGTCAAATCATTGCATGAGCACAATCATTAATCAAATCACATAATTAACAAAATACCAAAGATTAAATGGATTATGTGGTCTTTCTTTCTCTATGCAGTTTACTTAGCAGCTTATACTTTCCCTTGTTGAAACAATGGGTTAAGTTTTAATGTGTTAAATACCATAGGTGATCTCTAGTGATCTGTGGTAAGGTTTTCTTTCAACCTAGGTTAATCAATGCCCAATGGTAATTTGCATTATGGGCTTATATGCATGCACTATTACTGGCTATACACACGTATGCATGCACCCCTAAAAAGGCTAGGATAAGAAGTCTTTTCCTGGCAGGTGTCTCTGCACAGGTATTCAAGTATCCTGATAAGGAAACAAAAAAAAAAAGCAAGTTACTTAGAAAAAGATAAAGGAGCTGCTCTTCACCTTGCTTGGTCTGTGGAGCTTTACAGTCAGTCAGAAACAGCAGTTTGGGGAATTAGGAGATGTCTTGTAGCTCAGGTATTGTCAAGCTAGCAGGTATCATCCTCCGGTCAACTGGCCATTCTACAATGTCTTGGTCTCTACTTTCCTTTGGAGGGAAAGTAGGAGTATCAGCCATCTGGTTGTCATTGTGATGACCTCAGGAGGAACACACTCTCTTTCTCATTTACCAGGTCTTTTAAGGGAGAAACCCAGCCTGGTGTTGTTCCAAATGATCTCCTCAGCAATCTTCTGATCAGAGGATCACAGACTTTGGACTCCAACTGCATTGTCCAATCCTGGTCAAGTGAGGTCAGTCTGACCTTTGGTCCCCTTTTGGGGCCCTACTTCCTAGGGTACTGGTTCTTTGTCACATGCACAAATCTTGGTGTTTTTCCCAAGCAAACATTGTTAGGGGAACAATAACAGGAAACTTGGAAATGGCAGAGATGCTTAATGACTTATTTGTTTCGGTCTTCACCGAGAAGTCTGAAGGAATGCCTAACCTAGTGAATGCTAATGGGAAGGGGGTAGGTTTAGCAGATAAAATAAAAAAAGAACAAGTTAAAAATCACTTAGAAAAGTTAGATGCCTGCAAGTCACCAGGGCCTGATGAAATGCATCCTAGAATACTCAAGGAGCTAATGGAGGAGGTATCTGAGCCTCTAGCTATTATCTTTGGAAAATCATGGGAGACGGGAGAGATTCCAGAAGACTGGAAAAGGGCAAATATAGTGCCCATCTATAAAAAGGGAAATAAAAACAACCCAGGAAACTACAGACTAGTTAGTTTAACTTCTGTGCCATGGAAGATAATGGAGCAAGTAATTAAGGAAATCATCTGCAAACACTTGGAAGGTGGTAAGGTGATAGGGAACAGCCAGCATGGATTTGTAAAGAACAAATCATGTCAAACCAATCTGATAGCTTTCTTCGATAGGATAACGAGTCTTGTGGATAAGGGAGAAGCTGTGGATGTGGTATACCTAGACTTTAGTAAGGCATTTGATACGGTCTCGCATGATATTCTTATCGACAAACTAGGCAAATACAATTTAGATGGGGCTACTATAAGGTGGGTGCATAACTGGCTGGATAACCATACTCAGAGAGTTGTTATTAATGGTTCCCAATCCTGCTGGAAAGGCATAACGAGTGGGGTTCCGCAGGGGTCTGTTTTGGGACCGGCTCTGTTCAATATCTTCATTAACGACTTAGATATTGGTATAGAAAGTACGATTATTAAGTTTGCGGATGATACCAAACTGGGAGGGATTGCAAC